ACCTACCCATGCTCACGTGAATGTTTCATTGCGATGATGGTCTAGGACTATGGAATTATGTCTGTGTGGTGTGGACATCATCATGAAGAAATAACTGGGACAGCTCAGGAACAGACACACGTTACTTCATGACTTCTGGTTGCCCAAAAGAGTGGTAAATGCTCCATCCCTGACAGTGTTCAAGGGCAGGTTGGACACAGTTGCTTGGAGCAAGCTGCTGTAGTGGAAGGTGTCCCTGCTCGTGGCAGGGTGTTGTGACTGGGTGATCTGAAGGGACTATATGTTCCCTATAGATGAGAATTGCTAACTAATTGTTAGGTTAACAAGGCTGTCATATGAATATCATCTTTAATGTTCATGTCAATAGAGGCCAGGTTTTGAATCATCTCCACAAAAACCAATATCCTTCTCCAAAACATTTAGGCTGATCTAACAGCACCTGAAGCACAGGGCAAAGAGACCCATGTCCAGCTCTTCCTACCAAAAAGGTGCTTGCTATTTGAGGTATCAGAACCATTTATGCAGAGGATCCCCATCATGTATTTGATGTGGGAAGTTTGTGTCTACAGCCAGGGGTGGCTGCATTTTATAGATCCCTTCTCTGCAAAGATTGAAACAGAATTCATATGATGATGCTCTCAGTATGAAATGTATTTCCAAAACCTCAAGGCTGTTTCTTGTGTTGCTGGAATTCACCATGCTGCCTCCCCGGCATGTTAAACTGAGGTTTCTATTGCCAGCTCACTGAGCAGTTTCCTCCACACAGGACTATGGCAATCTAGAGCTCTATTAGTGAAGTATCATCCAGTCTGGGTAAATGTTTGAGCATTTCAGTTGTCTCTGAAATGGAAACTTTCTTAAACACAAGAGGAAATAAGGACACCAGAGTGGGCTAATTCATCAAGCAGCGATGAGCCCTACACAGGACACTGCTCATCTAGACTCCTGTTTTCACAGAAGCTCAGAGCAGATGATCTTTTGAGGCCCAGCCTGGGCTTTCTGTGGCTCTATGATTCTATATGCATAGTGCAAGCCAAAATATCCAACAAAATGGAAGAAAACAAGATATGGTGAAAGTTTTGAAGGAAGCTCTCTGATATCCAAGGTGCCAAGCCCTTTAGCATTTAATGATACAGATTCTGGCTCCTTCATTGACTGCAGGTCAAAGCCACGTTGCCCCCACACCTATGACAGTGTATGCTTTCATACTGTTGTTTTTCTGAGCACATAAAAATTCTGTTCACCATCCATATACTTTCCCAATATCAGTTAATTGCCACTCACAGCAGGTAAGGGAAAGATACTTTCCCCCATCAGTGTGTTTTGGCTTTATTGAGACCCAGACAGCTCTCACTTACCATCAATTCTTTGTTCTTTCATTTATGGAAGCTTCCTACAAAGTTAATTCTAATGTGAAATAGACAATTTGGTTTTCGCGGTGTGCTTGAGCATGAGCAGGGCATGGACATGGGATATGGGTGCTTATCTCCAAGTGGAATTCCATTTCTCTCACCATTTAGGTAAAAGGTTATTTCAGATGAATGTAAAACACCACTTACAATGAATGGGAGGAGGTCCTGATGTGCCCGAAATGTCCCTAACACTGGGTGGTCTCAGCACAGTTCATCATCCTCCATTATGAATTATATTGTCTATAACTTTTTCCTTTAAATGAAATCTCCTGTGAAGCTGCAGCCTGGGGAGGGATTCCCCTTGACATTCAAAGGCGCAGCTTGAGATCTTGATTCCCACCAGCTTCTTCTCTTTGAAAGGCACAAACAAATGCCATGAATCTTCTGAAACCTTTTCTGTGACTCTTTTTCAGCAAGCAAATGTAAAACTACACTTCCTCTTCCCTCCCACCCCAGCAGCTTTAATAAAGAGCTCACAGGTAAGAGTGAGGAATTTTATTGGAGCTGAGGGACACGGGCAAGAATCTTGCAAGAAAAATAGATATTTATCAGTGACAAAAGTTATAACTGAGCAAAGCTGATTGGTGTTTCCTGTGAGGGAAAGAGGCCTGGGATAACTGAGGGTAATTTCTTCCTACAGGCTGCTGGCTATGAAATGAATTGAAGTTTGAGGTTCCTCTCCTTTTAGTTTCCTTCCAAGGAAGGAAGATGTGATTCTGGGGATCTATATCTCATTAAAAACTGTAATTGAGTTTTGTGCAGGAAGTGTGGAAGAATCTACATCAAATCATGGGGATTATTGGGAAAAATCCCTTTGTTTTAGTGCCCCATAGGCTTTCTCACTTGAGATGAACTGTTCATGTCCTGGATGACAGAAAGCTTCTGTGTTGCCAGCAGCTGAAAATCCTCCTCCCGCATTTCATCAGAGACCGCTTCACCTCCCTGTTCCTCAGGCTGTAGATGAAGGGGTTGAGCATGGGGATGAGCACAGCATAGAAGATGGAGGCCACCTTATCCAGGCTCCTGTGGCTAGAAGGAGGTTGTAGGTACATGAAGAATCCTGTCCCAAAGTACATGGAAACAGCCATCAAATGGGAGGCACAGGTGTGGAAGGCTCTGGCCCTGCTCTGTGCTGAGCACATCCTCAGCACGGTGCGCAGGATAGAGATGTAGGAGAGAAAAATAACCACACTTGCACCCACCGCATTGATGGTGACGAAGGCAAAGATGACCATCTCACTGCTGTGGGTGTCAGAGCACACGAGCTTTAGCACAGGGAAAAGCTCGCAGAAGAAGTGGTCAATGCGGTTGGGACCACAGAAGGAACCTCCAAACGTGCACCAAGTGTAGGTGATGGCAGTGAGGAAGGCAAATAGGTAGGATGATGCTACCAGCTGCCAGCAGACATGGCTGGAGATGATGGTCACATAAAGCAGAGGATGGCAGATAGCAACGTGCCGGTCGTAGGCCATCATGGCCAGGAGGTGACACTCAATAGCAGCAAAGAAAACAAAGGTGAGGAACTGCATCATGCAGGCAGTGAAAGAAATGGTTTTGTCCTCTGATAACAGGTCTGCCAGCATCCTGGGGGAGATGACTGTGGAATAGCAGATGTCAGTGAAGGCAAAATGGGTGAGGAAGAAGTACATGGGGGTGTGGAGGCTGGGAGACACCCGAACCAAGATGATAATGCCAAAGTTCCCCACCTGAGTGACAATGTAAATCAATAGAAACAAGACAAAAAGAGGGGTCTGCAGACATGGGCTGTCTGTAATTCCCAACAGGATGAAGTCAATCTGGGTGTGATTTCCTCCCATGACCAAGTGTTACCTGTTGAGGCAAAAGGAAGGAAACTAATGAAAAATAGAGATTCAGATTGGGACCATACTAATTCTAATCAGTGACCATTTAAAACATTACATTTTAGTATGTTCTACTACATTTTTTTCACCCAAATTTTATATGCTTTATTGTTTTTAGTTGAGATATTTCAAAAAGAACAAAGAGCACATTGAAGCAACAAATGCCATTTTTCAGTTTTCTATGCCGGGACACTCAAAACTATGGGTTTATTCACGGATGTGGGTTTTTCAGATTTTAGGAAAGAATCAGATATGCAATCACTTTAAGTTCAGAGGCAATTTGTGTCAGAGGACACCTCAGAGGAAGCTCATCAGAGTGAATGTAAACCTGAAGCAAGAGAAAGTCACATTCCCAGTGAAATCCCAGCTTACACATGCATGACCTCCAGACATTTTCCCCTGGCTTATAGTCATCATTCTAGTCAACAAATCACATCTATCAAATCATTTGAGATCATTTGCAACAGTAACATTCACATGGATAAATACATGATTTATGACTTTCTGAGCTTCAGCACGCTGAAAGATCCTAAACCCATGGGCATTAAGTTCCTTGCTTTATAAAGGAGTTGATCTTAGGCCGATTCCCAAGGCTCATTTGTTAGTGACAATATACTGCTGACAATCTGCAATGTTGCATTTCTTTATAACAGAATAAGATTCATCCTCATTTAACTCTTGAATAAATCAGTGCATCTTGCTTTAGTAGCCTGTGTAAAAGAAACACAACCTGCATCAGACGTTGCTCCCTCTTCTTATAAAAAGAACCCACATTGGTAAGGCTGTTTTCTGACACAGCTTTCCCAAAGAGGACACTAGAACACGAAGAAGCAAGCTCACTGCCTCACTGCAGGTGAGGCTCTGCTTTGTGTTGGTGTTACCTCCTGTGCCTTCCCTCTGTCACCGAGTGATGGGAGCCAAGGGTTTATCCCCAGTGCAGCAGAGAACGTGCCAGCATCAGCTCTGTTAAGCACCTGATGTGAAGAGAGGGGAGCTCCTGCCAGACTCCAAGAGCCCAGCTTGTGGTGCTGGGGCTGTAAATACAGTTGCATGTGCTCTGCTGGGAGGAAGCCTCCAGGGCTGCTCATGCTTTCCCAGAGGAAAACAAAGAGAAGGGAAAGCAAAGGGTGTGAAATCAGCTCTGAAAGGCACTGTGGTGCTTGGGCATTTGAATGACATGGTGTGCATGAGTTATCCCTGATCATAGCTACACAGCAGCAGTGATGAGCAGCTCATAGGATGCTTTTGATGTACTTGTGGATCATTCAAAGGTTTTGTTTTGACATTGGCAATGGAATCAAAAATGGGTTTAGAGACATTTCAGATCTTGTAGAGTGTCCCCAAATGGGACATGAAGCACAAGTGACTCCATCTCTGGAGCTGCTGATGTCCATCTGTAGACACTTGAGAGCCCAGTTTTCCATTCCCAGTGGAGTTATCCACATGCAGTGCCTGGATGTCGAACAGCTGAGCTGGTGCCTCTGGGCTTCCACTGTATTCAAGGGTGAGAAATGGGTATTTTCACACAGTGATGAATTGTCCCAGCTTTAACTAATAGGCTTTTATCCCCCTGAGCAGCCTCAGCTGGGGTTCCATCCCCACCCTTTGCCTATTTGTCCCCCATCTCTATCAAAGCTCAGGAAGACTGAGGTTTTTTAGATGGGTTTTGTTTTGAACTTTAGCAGGAGTTCTGCACACCTTTGCAATTCTTTGATGGTGATTTTGGCTTTCTCATTTATCTTCCTAGCATTTTTTGGACCTGTTCCTGAACAAGGGATTGACTTGACCCTTGGCTTGGTCCTGGATCTGCCTTATAATCACCTGCTTGCCTGATGCACTCTAATCTTGGCTGAACTTAACCCAAGTCTTCTTTTCCTGCCCTACTTCTCTTGCTCAGGTACCGTGGGATGGTCCCTGCACACTGTGGTGCTCTTCTTTGGCTCTGTTGATAGAGATTCAAAAGTCAAAGCCCTGTGGCAGTCCCCAGGCTCCTGCAGAGCAGAACCCATCACCCTCTGCACCCCAACAGCCCAGCCAGTGCTCACTGCTCTGGCAGTCCCTCTCCATCCAGAGCATGTCCCTACCTGGGAAATTAGGAGACAGTCTTTTCAGTGAGGTGAGTAGAGTAATAAATTGAACCTTATTTTCAATTGTTATTATCTTTTCCTTAGTGCTTTCTCGTTTACCAAGTACAGCATTAGACTTTCATTCTTCAGCAGATTGGCAACACTTTGGTTTGGATGTAGCTTTGGCACGATGTTCATCTGCTGGTTTTGTGACAGAGGACACCAGAGTTTCAGTGATACCAAGGACTTTGGCTTCCCCAGCCTCTTTCTTAGGCTTCCAGGCTTGCTTTGGAACCATTTCTAAGTCTTGCTTTCTCCCTGTGACTGGTTTGTGCAACAAGACCACAGACAATCTGATTTATCTACACTCTTTTATTGACCTTACTGGGTTGTTTTTTTTTCCCCTGTGTGTAGGTCTTTTCCCATCTACACTTGACATTACCACCAGGCTCCTTGCTAGCCCTGTCAAAAATATATTCCAAAGCTGTCAGCATCTCCAGGTGATAGCTTCAAACCTACATTATGACCTCATCTTATTTTCAGGGGCTTCTTCTTTTTTCTAGTGAAGTACAGGAATTGTAATGGTATTATTTAATGAAGTAGATTATTTTAAGATGAAAGATGCATTTCTCTCATTTATGTTAGGCCCTGCTTTGTAATTTCTGTCAGCTCTCTTATCTAACTGATAAAGCAAGATAACTTATCCAAAGAGTCTATATATTTTATGTATATATAGGTTCTATATATGTAAGAAGACAGTCTTAAATGCTC